CCAGCTCGCTTGGGTGGCCAGCTCGCTTGGGTGGCCAGCTCGCTTGGGAATTACGTTATGTGACTTGTGATAACTGGTGCCTGAAAGTCAAGGCGGCTATTTTCAGGGACCCAACTGGACCGAAATCTGTAGCCCAGTCGGTGCTTTACCGATTCAAGACACTTCACGGGTTAGATGACTTCAGACAGGACAGGATCACAGGATCTGTACGAGCTCAGATTGAAAGCCAATTTGTTGTGCTGTCTTTAAATCAACCTTGATCGTTTGACACTTTTGGGACAAACGTGTGTGGAACTGATTGCGCAGGACTGAACATTGGAAAGACATCCAGGCAACAGGTTGATCCTAGAGAGATCACTCAAGATCAAGATGTCAGGCACCGAGATGTGGATTTAATATACAGCGCTCCGTATAAGAAGCTGGATGCTCGAACAGGAAGCTCGGGGGGCGTTGCCCCGCGCAGTCCGGGCTAAGCCCGTGGGCATCTGCCGAAGACCATCCCCGCCCAAGACCCTTGCTGGACATTTAGCTTGCTGTGGATCGCTAGTTGAATGATGTCTCCATTTTATTGATTCTTATTCACAACTCCATATCTAGGACCAGCGTCGTTTAGCATCGGCCTCAATTTGTCCCGGGCCACTCCAAAAACCCTACGCTTATATCGCCTGACAACAATGCCAGACGAAAAACCCCTGTCTGCTCAACAAATCTCAGAGCATACAACACCCGAAGACTGCTGGGTTGTGATCGACAAGAAGGTTTGGGACGTGACCGACTTTTTGGAAGAGCATCCAGGAGGATCTGCAAGTACGTAAACCGACGAATAAATCAAACATCGGAGGATAATACCTAATTTGCCTCGCAAACAGTTATCCTGAAATATGCAGGCAAAGATGCAACGAAAGCCTACTCAGAAGTTCATGCACCCAACGTTGTAAAAAATAATCTCCATCCGGACAAGTTCAAGGGTACCCTCGACGAGTTTACAATTAACGCTGAGTGGACCAAACTACCACCAGGGCAGGTTCCCAAGGTCTTTCTAGAAGACAACAAACCTCCGTTGGACACACTAATAAGCTCACACGACTTTGAGGTTGTGGCTTCAAGAACTGCCAGCAAGAAGACCTGGGCGTTCTACTCCAGCGCAGCTACCGATTTAATCACAAGGAATGCCAATAAATCATGCTTCGACCGGATATGGTTCCGCCCTCGAGTCCTAAGAAACGTCCGTCTGGTAGATGCTGGGACAAAGATCCTCGGCGGGAGTTACAAGCTCCCACTATTCGTGAGTCCGGCAGCAATGGCAAAGCTTATTCACCCGGATGGAGAATGCGCCATTGCCAGAGCCTGCGCAACCAAGGGAATCATGCAAGGAGTATGCTTATACCGTATGCTGCAACTAACAGTCACTATGCTTACGATCAGAGTAGATTTCAAATAACTCATCCTACACTATGGAGGAACTTTATACGGCCGCGCCCTCAGCCGACTTTTTCTTCCAATTATACGTCAACCGGGACCGACAAAAGTCCGCCGCTCTCTTGCGCCAGTGTTCAGCGAATCCGAACATCAAAGCCATTTTTGTTACCGTGGACGCCGCGTGGCCCGGTAAGCGCGAAGCTGACGAGCGCATCAAAGCCGACGAGAACCTATCTGTGCCTATGGCACCGTCGAAGGTGAATAACGATAAGAAAGGAGGGGGTCTCGGTCGCGTCATGGCTGGATTCATTGATCCCGGGCTGACATGGGAGGATTTGAAATGGGCGAAACAGCACACGCACAAGCCGGTGTGTTTGAAAGGTGTGATGTCAGCCGATGATGCGCTGCTCGCCATGAAAGCGGGGCTGGATGGGATCTTGCTCAGCAATCATGGCGGTCGCAACCTAGATACTAGTCCGCCATCGATCATCACGCTCCTGGAGATCCACAGGCGTTGTCCAGAGGTCTTTGATCACATGGAGGTCTATGTGGACAGCGGAATTCGACGAGGAACTGACATCCTTAAGGCTGTTTGTCTGGGGGCAACGGCTGTGGGAATGGGCCGAAGCATGCTTTTTGCTACCAACTATGGCCAGGAGGGAGTAGAGCATCTGATTGACAGTAGGTGATGGCTTGAAACTTTGCTCTTATAATTGGCTGATTCAAGCTCTTCACAGTCATGCAAGATGAACTGGAAACATCCATGCGAAACGTTGGCATCACATCCCTGGCGGAGGCGTCCCCTGATCTCGTGCACACTGGGGATGTCGACCACCTGGTTCCAGCGTCCCGCTCTCACCCGTACGCTCGAGCCCTGGCTAAAGGACGGCGACCAGGGTCATCGAACCTTTTGAATATACGAAGTCGAGTATGAGATGTTGGATTGAGGTTGCAACATCAGTTGATCAATCGCATGGTGTGGGGATGTGAGCCATCTCTTAACTTGAAGGACCTACGATACTTCGTGTATAGTCCGTTGTACAGTTGCCCAGGTAAAGCAGTAATTAGCGACTTATTGAATTTGCCTACCAAGTAAAGAACCCAACAAACCCCCTGATCTAGGGGTGAAAGGAAAATGATTGTACCAGATACCTGCCAAGATTCATTGACACTTGCCCAGGCTAAGTCCTTACAGCTATCGAATTCCCCCGATCCCCTGGCCACACAAACACTCTAAGCACAGCGGCTTGTAAGGTCTGCTGATCTCGACACGATGCCTTCGAATTGGGCGCCTGAGGTACAGGAAGTGATTGCGGGGTTGAGAAATGAAAGTCAATCTGAAAACGGACACGTAGCGCTACCCAAAGTGTTCCGTACTCCGTAGATAATCAGGGATATCTGATAGAATGACCGTATACACCGTGTAGCACAGAGAATAGCCAGATGCGTAGATCAATCGGAGGGCGATCCTGACTCCGAGTCTCACCGCTCTTATTCGAAGAACAGTCTCACGCTAGGTTGCTTCTGATGTCTTGACTCATATTTTTCTCCAATTATTCTCCGATGCTATTGAGGTCCACTATCAGGTCATGAGATTTCTCAACAGTTGAGGATCGGCGATGAACCCCGGCATTCCCAAAAATGCTCAGACCATTCTTGTTTTCATGGCTTGTTTCCAGGGTTTGGTGCACACCGACCGACCGATTGAGTGAGAAGGATCGGAGTGAATTGTATGAGCCAGCCACGAAGGGATTAAAAGTAGATATGCATAACGGAACCGTTTCTTTACTTTCCCCAAGGAGAATTCAATGAGGGGGTGATGCAAAGTGTAGGCGGGATTGCGGAGTGACTATTCGACAGATTTCCCCATCCTGCAGGAAGACACCCAATCAAGGCCGATAGCTACAATGGTGATTATTCTATTGGATGATCATCCAACACGTAATCTCCAATTTTAGAATGAGACAACAAAAAGACGGAGTACAACAACAGAATACATCACTTTCGGGGGGTAGGTGATGTACCCGGTACATCGTGTCACTCCGTGTTCTGGTGGGCACGGGGCCACCTACAGGCCCGATAGCTGGGTATCTTGTACTCCGGACGGAGTACGCCGTAGATCTCTGTCTGGGGAGAATTGTTGAACTCAGCATTTTCACAAAAGTCTACCGAGGGAATTATGCCCTGCCAGCTCATCACTTTAGAAATCTCTTGTTAAATTTCATATGAACAACAATCAACCCGCCTTTGCCCCAGTGTTGACGTACTCTACTTTTGACACTATCGATAACGGTCCAGACCGCCAAGAGTTGGCCTCATAGCTCTCCCCAACCATTCTCGGTCTATAAAGCTCCCAATCCTGTCCCCATACTCCCCCATACTCCCATACTTCTTTCTCACTTTCCCTCCTTTCACTATACCTGGAGACTTCCGCCTCTACCAAACCACCCCCCACATAGCCTTTCATCTCAAAAAGCTACAACTCTATAGCCACTATACACTACACACCATGGCTGCTTCTCGTTCATCATCTCTCCGCGCTCTGCGCACTCTCTCCCAACAGCCCGTGGCACCCTCTGCTCGCCGCAGCCTTCACATCACCGGAGTGCAGTCCCAACCCGCCAACGCCGGCGAGAAGGCTCTATCCAACCATGATGTCCTCCAATCCCGCGCCTTCAGCATCGCCATGCGCAGAATCAACGGCAGTGCATTCTCAGAGTATGTCCCACTCGCCCATTTCCTTCTATCTATCTACCCATCACTCCCTTCCAACCCTTCAAAAAGAAAAGAAACCCCAAACTAACATCCTCCAGCTCCTCTTCCCGCCAATTCAACACCTCCCGCGCCACCAAAGCATTAAACGACACCTCAACCGTTGACTTCGTCTACATGCCCAGTATGGCCGACCTCGACGCCGCCCCTCTACAACGCGGCATCCAAGTCCCGGTCCTTCCCGAACTCCCTTCCATCCCATGGCGCCAAACGCCCACTGCCCCACCCATGAAGCCCCAGATCTACACCGTATCAGGCGCTGGCGCGGACGTCCCTGCCAGTGCGATGAGCGAGGTCGTCGATAACCACGCTGTCGACTTGGATCCGTTCTCGCTTACCGAGGCTGTTAGCCGCTCACGGGTCGGCGAGGAGATCCAGCGCAGGTCGAATGGTTCTTCTGAGCCTGGTGTCATACGTGAGCTCTGGGCTGGCTTCCTTGATGACGTTATGGGTCCCAAGCAGAGTGCTCAGAGGAAGTAGAGTCTTTTGGTTCCTGTCTCTGGTCTATTCTTGTTCAGGGCCATGTTGACGAGTCTGTGATGAAACGAATTCTTTTGTTGCTTGACACATTGTTCCGCTGTGTCTTGCTCTTGTTTGGGTTCGGACTGTTTTGAGATTATAGCGTTTTGATGTAGTTTTTTTTTTCCATTGAGTGAATATCTTCCTCCATGGTGTCAGCCAGCTAACCGGTGGCTTTATTTATTTTTTGGTTTGGTTTCTATCCATCTTATTCACTACAGCTCTGTCGAGTTGTTACAATTCAATTGAACATGACTATCCATACTTTTTATCAACAACGAATTTGAGCCTCTTTCTATCAAGACATCTTCTCTTAGGAAATTCGTCTGTTGGTTTCATTTCTATCTAGACACTGTTGGGTTACAACAAAACACAAAGCGAACGCAATTCAAAACAGGTAGTGAAAATTCGCATCAACACCTTTTCAACCAACTTGACCGCCACTAAACCATTGCCGTAGACCTTATACCTCAGACACGGAAAACATGAAACCCTCCCCCACACCACCGCAATCGTTGTTGTGCCGAGGTACTCGATCCGATACTCACCATGCATGATCTAACGACATAGGCAGATCCACCTAGACTTCCGGAACTCCCCCTCCGCCCTTGATCGACGTCCAATAGTGACCCGAGGTCCGCAGATCACCCACAACTCCGGATGGGTGAGTCATTGCACCATTTCCCAAGATCATCGCCAGCAAATGCACTACGGTCCACCCGACGCATGTGCCATACCGAGACAGGTGTCGAAATAACCCCAAGCGTAGCATTTACTGCATATCCTTCGATCCTGACAGCACTAGTCCTGTCGAGCTCGGGGAACATGACGTTGGCATGGTCATGTTATGAAAAACCGGGGCTAGTAGATGCCGAATTCAGCTTGTTGCAGCATCGAACCAAACCACGTCTTTCTCCTTTCTTCCGTGCCTCTAATGGTGCCACGTCGGTACCTTGGCGGTTCCGAGGCATGTTTTGTCCCCGGGTACTTTCTAGGTTCCGGTGATTCGGTGGGATGGATGGGGTTCGGGCGTTTCGTGGGGAAGGTCGGAGTCCCGCGCGGGCTATTTCGGGGAGAGCTGGGGTGGTTATCTAATTGATTCATCAACCGGCGATTTGGGAATTTTGGGGATTCTGTTAGGTGCGTGTGTGAGGGGGGGGGGTTGTTCTAATTTGGCCACCGCTTCGGTTTGCCTTTTCGCGTTGAGGCTATTTCTATGAGGTGAAGGTTTTGTGGTTTGGGCTGTAGTTCGATTTCCATCCATCTACTCCGTGTTGGTTGTGTGCCCGGGTATCTTCGTATCTCAATCGATTCAATAAGTGGGCGCCGTGGGTAAACGATGTGTTCTCTTCGGTCGTCATCTGTATAAGGTCTTGAGTTCTTCGGGCCAAATTATCATTCCCTCGTAATGTGGCTAGCTGCGAACAATTCCCCTTCTCAAAGACCTATCTAGTTAACCTAAATCTATGCAGGAACTTTTCAATCACTCCCACCTATGAAGTGCCCCATATCAAATCAAGATGTTGCCAACAATATCCCAATTTTGATCCATTCCGAGATACTAACACCTGTCGCACACCTGACTATTGATCTTCTTCTAAGAAATCTAACCGTTCAACCCGGTGACTTATTCAGACAAGTGCGAGGGGCTTGTTAGAATTGCAAGGTCTGTGTGACATCTGTATTTGGATCAATTTCTTTGCGGCACAAGGGGTACATGGAGTATTCGCTTTCGCGTGGGAGTGAGAGATTGAAGTGGAGGGTGCACTCCACGGCGTTCATCAAACGACTTCTTATGTATGGGTTTGGGCATGGTTTTGCGGGTATGGGTTGAACGGGTTACGGGAATGGGCTGATTCTGCACTCCTCACTTCGGTATCATCTGTATACTCTGGGAGCGATCCCGCTCGGCGTTGGGTCTCGAGTTCTTGCTTCGGTTGGAGAAGCGCCTGCATAGTCATACGCAACTAGTTAGACTGCAACAGGTTAATTGAACTTTGATTGATTGATATTCGCTTTCGCCAACTGTTTGGAAGACAGACTCGGGAATCGATATCCGCATAGCTTTGGCATGGATGGACTAGCTTTGAATATCCCTGAATCTACTCCGTATTCAATTCGAGATTAGAATCAGTCTCCACAGTTGGCTCATGATCCACGTAGATCCGGTTTGGATAGCTATTCCCAAAGGATCCTTGTTTCACTCCATGAGGTCGGACATACCGTATAATCTAGATTGGTCATTCCAATTCGAACCCATACTGGTTTAGTGAATGACTCGTCCCAAGTAGATCGGAGTATCCAAAAGAAAAGTGTCAGGGGTGAGATCAGATGTTCTCGACCCAAGTGGAGGCCATTAAAGCCAGAGTCTAGACCGTCCGTTCGCCAATGGCATTTTTGCGGTTTTTTTCTTTTTTCTTTTTTTTTTTTCTTTTTTCGACTTCTAAATTCGTTCCACTTCGTTTGGCTAGGCCCATATTTCCTCTCGGGCTATATGTGAGCATCCCCGGGTTTTTGCGCAATTAAAGTCATCGTTCGATATAAAAATAGCCAAAGCATTCAGATTCAAGATCAAAATTCCAATTTCCCCCTCCTTCAAGTTCCTTAAAAGAACAGTAAGCTTGGACTTCACTAGCTTCAATAAACCAGCGGATCAGTTCTATAATGAGCGTCGGACAAGTCGAAGGGAGTCTCTACCTTAGGGGAACTAACCCGAATATAGTCTAGAGCCAACTGGCGTTCTTCCAACTTCCAAGGTTCTTTGTCAGGGGTTTTTTAACACGGTGGAGATCAGGTCCCATCTTTCACACATTTCAAGTTTCTTCATCCTCCTGGTCTCTTACAGTTCGTTGCTTAGCTTCCGATCGTCTTTTCTTGATTTCCTCACTTTCCTCTTTAACGTCAGTCAATCGCTTAATTCAATTCTTCAACTAATCGAAGCTTCCAATCCCTAAGATCCACACCATACAGCGAACAGCGATTTTAATTAAAATAGAAAGACGGATTGAACCCGGCATCGGTTCATCAAATGCAGACGTCTACATTTCTGGTCTAAAGTCCCCCAGGGACCATGCATCTTTCATCATTTCTGGTCGTCATTGCCGGCATTTCGGGCGTGCACGCCTTTTATCCATGGGAATTACGGATACTCTCCACGGAAACTACAGTCGAACGTCGCTTTGTTCCATGGACTTTGAACGAACCGACGCTCGAGGAGAGCACCGACACAAAACCATGGACCCTTGACCTGAAAAAAATGCCCGTTCGTCGCGACGATGGCTATAAGATCGTTGAGTCCCATAAGCCGACATTGGCAAACAGTGCACCGTTAAACCAGGACGGAACAGACTATTCATACTTTTCTCCCGTCCTAGTAGGTTCTCAAAAGCAAGAAATGTGGATGGCAATCGACACTGGAGCACCCAATACCTGGGTCTTCGACTCGAAATGCACCGAACCTGTCTGCACACGTCATCACAAATTCGACCAGTCAGCATCAACCAGCTGCACCACCGACGGTTCGACTTTCAGCCTTTTCTATGGTAGTGGCAAGGTCTCTGGAAATATGGGGAAAGACATCTTCTCAATTGCAGGGCTCGAAGTCTCGCAAACCTTCGGTTTAGCCAACAATGCCTCGGAAGCTTTTCAGAGTTATCCATTTGACGGGATCCTTGGCCTGGGTCGGTCGCGTACTGAAGGCTGGGATTTGCCGTCTTTCATGGACCTTGTTGCCGAGAAAAAGCTCATTAAATCAAACTTGGTTGGGTTCAGTCTCTCTCGCTCCGCAGACCATGCCAAGGATGGGGAAATCAACTTTGGTGATGTCGACACAACCAAATTCGATGGTACCATCTCCTACACGGCGACTAACGACAAGATCTGGAGTATCCCCCTGGATGATGCTCATGTGAATGGTCAAAGGTGCAAATTCTCCGGAAAATCTGCCACCATCGATACCGGCACCACATATATCCTGATCCCTCCCGCGGACGCCAAAGTCTTGTTTTCTCTCGTTCCTCATTCATCCCAGCAGCCCTCCAATCCGAACAATTATCTGATCCCATGTAACTCGACTGCTACTATAGAGTTTGAATTTTCTGGTGTCAAATATAGCGTTTCCCCCAAGGACTATGTCGGAAATACCGAATCGGAAGGTTCGGACTTCTGCATTTCGACTATTGTCGGCTATGCATCCAACGGTGCAAACTGGCTCGTTGGCGATGTCTTTTTGAAGAACGTTTACACTGTGTTCGACTTCGACAATGGACAAATCGGTTTCGGTGCGCTTGCTTCCGCCTCATCCTCATCCTCATCTCAGGGCAATGGGACATTCACTGCACCGCCAGTCACTGGCACTGCCGCATCCACTGCTGATATCACATCATCATCGACCTCGGCAAAGACCACAGTCTCTGACAGTTCCGCATCCCACCTCATTCGTGGCATTAGCTGGTCTATGCTAACGGTCATGATTGGCGCATTCGCTATTTGAACTTCCGTTTAACCCCTCTTGTTACTTCTTGACAATCTTTCCATTTGGCGGCAACCTTTTTTTTTTATTTTTTGCTCTTTTTTCTACTGTACACTCGCTCAACACACGTCTTTTCCGTGCACATTGTCTATTATTGTACACGCATATCATTTCACTTCTGCTAATACACCCGGGTCCTCCTACGATCACCCACCTACACTAGCATACATTGACGATATTTTGTCCATTCGGCTTTTTTCGGTTTCACACATCGTTCGTTTCGGGTTGATCATCCATCCTGTTGAACTGGACATGGCTTGCTATAATTTTCATTCAGACAGACATAAGTCTCCAATATTATTGGTCAAATGCCAAAATCACACAAAAAAAAACAACGTCCTGCAGTCCTTGCACCCCTAAGGTTTGTATTTGAACTACCCATATGAATTGGCAGGGTGACATGTGAAATTGACAGTCTGGGAAGGTGCGGCTCAGGTGTGTCAAGTGAAAGGCATTTTAGGAAAGTACGCGGCTTGATGGTATAAAAAGGCATCCCCCCCCTTTCAATGTAGAGCTAGTCACTGAGGCTGTCGCCGAGCACATTTGCACTCGAAACTGAGTAGTTTCAAGTTGTATATCTAAACTACGTAGAGTGACAAGATGTCTCTCTAAGCTGGAACATGTCACATGAGCAGATTCAAGGTAACATCGACCCTGTAATGTCTTCCATTCACAGAGTCTTCTGCGGGATGAGCGTATAATTCTTCGGATCCGACTCTGCATTAAAATCAGCATCCATCTTCATACCACAACAAAGGCAAAACTGACCAAGAATATCCCGATTGAAATCCTCAACCCCGTTGAACCCAGCAACACCCATCAATTTGTCCAAATCCGCCAGCAACGACTTCATAACATGCCTAACCCCATCCTCACCCTGAATGCTCAACTCCCAAATCCAAAGCCGTCCAATAAACACAAACCTCGCCCCCAGCGCCAATGCCTTAACGACATCACTCGCCCCCCTGACTCCAGAATCAAACATAACACCAATCGTCTCCCCAACAGTCTCAGCAATCCTCTCCAGAGCATCCAGACTAGCAACAGCTCCATCAACCTGCCTTCCGGCATGGTTACTCACAACAATTCCCTCAACCCCAAGTTCAACACACCTCCTTGCATCACCAACGGACTGAATCCCCTTGATAACAAATGGCCGTCCCCCACTAATCCCTCTCCAAGTCTCCATCAATCAAGGAATCTTCTCCCACGACCAAGCCCGTCCATGCCAGACAGAATCAATCCATTTCGTTGATGCAGCAACGACATCAACATCAGGATCAATCCCACCCGCAGCACATCTCTTCCGAAAAATAGGATCTGAAAGTCCCATCTCAGCACCAAATCCGCGGTAGAATGCATAGTTCGACGACGCAACATCGTCATGGCGCCATCCGAGCTGCCATATATCTGTCGTGAGAATCAGGGCGTCGAATCCGTTTTCCCATGCTCGTGTTAAGAGTGAGACGGTTAATTCGTCGTCGTGTGGCATGTACAGTTGGAAAAATCGTGTGCCGGCAGGTCCATTTGCGGATGCGACTTTTTCAATCGAGGTGCTACCCGCTGTGGAGAGGCAGTAGGGGAGGTTGAGCTCGCTGGCGACTTTTGAGACAGCGGCTTCGTCGGATGGATGGTAGTTTTTGTTGATTCCGATTGGCGCAAAGCCAATTGGGGCGGATACTTTGTGGTCGAAGATTGTTGTTGTCGTTGAGCGCTTATTGGTGTCGATAAGTTGGTTTGGGATTAGTCGGTGGCGGTAGAAAGCTTGTCGGTTTGCGAGGTGTGTGTTTGACATTCCTGCGTTAGAGGAGGCGTAGTACCTGTTGGCGTTTTGGGTCAGTTTTGTGTCTTGGGATATCGCTGGTTTCGTGTATAGGGATAGTATGTACCAGCCGCCCTCGCTCAGCTTCTCTTTGGCTCTTGCTTCCATCTCTCGGGGGTCTGTAAAAGTTAGGGGTTTGCGGATTTGGACCATCATAGCGAGAACTTTCCTGTGATGAAGAGTGGTGTTGTTCCTTCATTCTGTTTCCAGAAATTCTCTCGCTGGTAAAGACCCCATTGAGGTGTGGTGCGATCTTTGATATGTGGGTTTGTTGGATCGCTCATCTTGCAGATAGACGATGTTGGCTTTCTAGGTTCTTCTTTCAAGCGATTATGTACATTCGAATAGAGACAAACCTTAACTAGTGAGTATTTCAGGTCAACATCTTGTTGATGACCTCATCCTGACGTTGTATGGCTATTGGAGGACATAACCTGGAGCTTGATTAAGCTTAAATCCAAGAGCCACGGGTTGGGATCTGCTCGGATTTTCTTAGATCTATGAACCTTTTTTCTGAAAAACAAGTTCCTTGCACTTGGTGAATATGATTTCAACCTTGAAAATACCAGAAGGCCTAACATAATACGACATGGAGAAATGACTACAAAACTGCCAGACTTTATAAATATCAACCGGGGTTGGTTAAACCCACAGCTTTAATAACTTCAGAGTCGAGTAGCCGGGTTGTTCATTCTCCAGTCTTAAGCATTTGTACGCTCCCCCCTTGCTTTGGAGGTCACCTTCGGCTTCACGCAGCGTCTACCGAATAACACAAAAACCCTCGGGTCCCCAACCGGAAGCGCTTACATCGCTTTTCGTCTCCGGGCCGAGAATCCCCGGGGGCTAACCGGATCGGGTGAACCCTACGGCAGGCTGCAGTGTCCATAAGGGACTTAACTTATCGATTGATGAGTTCTCACTTCGTTATGTAAAAATAATGTTTTTGTGCCCTTGACCAAGATTGCTAGCTCTTGGAGCTAAATAAAATCTAAGGAATTTAAACGAATCAAGTAAGTTGCCTGTAAATTGATGGTCAGAGTATCGCGATCCAGGCGGCCCCTTTCTGCCAAGCCACTCAGCAGTTTAATCTCTTTTGGCCACTAAAACTGTCTGCATCCATCGGGCCCTCGGGACATCGTCACTTAAGTAGGGAGTACAATCTACCGAAATATCTACAGTGTTTCTCATTTTCGCCCCCCTTTTTTTCAGAAATTCAGAATCACGATGTTTGGCCTTAGTAGAAGATCAGTGCTTGCTCGCTCAAAATCTTTGACTACACTGCCCGCGCGAGCCCCAGTCGCAGCTCAGCCATCCTGCATCAACATTCGGGACTTTCACTCCACGCCGTCTCAGGCAGAGTCCCGGCACACGTGGATGCCCATGCGCGTCAAGACTCCATGGATCGATGCATTGACACAGAGCCGTGAGGCCGAGAAGGCTGGGCCGCAGGTGAAGGCTGGGCAAAGCGTTAAGCGCGATATCTCACCAAAAAAGATGTCGGATAGCTATTACAGTGCGGTATGCACATTCTTCTGCATCTTGTGGGAAATCAGCATGTTTTTATTGACTGGTTGGTAGATTTTGCCTCTGGCCCAAGACAAATGGCTTTTAGATTCTTATCTCAATGCCTCCGGGCACATTAGGTACGTCTTTGATACCCTACTTGGCGAAGGAGCATTTGACTGATCATTCTGAATAGATTGGGCTCACTTCTGATGGATCTCGATGCCCTTGCTGGCATCATTGCCTACCGTCACACAGGTGATGGTGTATCCACTGTCACTGCGGCGTGTGACCGGATTACCATTGAGAACCCCCTGATGGAAATTTGTGATCTTGAACTTAGCGGCCAATGTACCTACGCGACAGGTCGTTCCAGTATGGAAATCTCTCTGCAGGTCACCAAGGCCCGCCCAGAAGGACAGAAGGCGAAGCCTGAAGATGTCCTGATCACTTGTGCTTTCACAATGGTCTCACTGGATCCGACTACCAAGACGTGTGTTTCTCCTCTGTATCAAGCGATGCACACCAATTAACATCAAATCACTAGTCCTGTCCCAGTGGCTCCGCTCATCGTTGAAACAGAGGAGGAAAAGCGCCTCTTCCAAAAGGGCGAAGCAAATTACAAGGCCAAGAAGGCCCTTCGCACACGCAGCCTCTTAGAGAAATCCCCTGACGACGAAGAGAGCAACCTAATCCACTCAATGTGGACGAAGGAGATGTCCTACCTAAGTAAGCGCTAGGAACCCTTCTACTTATCACATCACCTGCACCCCAATACTCACCTGCCTCTAGATCCCCAAAACGCAGTCACGCGCCCTGCAAATCAGGCTTTCATGAGCGACACAGTCCTCAAATCCGCTATGATCATGCAACCCCAATACCGCAACCGCCACAATTTCATGATCTTCGGTGGCTTCCTCCTAAAGCAGACCTTCGAGCTTGCCTTCTGCTGCGCCGCATCCTTCGCACACGCCCGACCAAACTTCGTCGCTCTCGATCCCAGCACCTTCGAAAACCCAGTACCCGTAGGCAGCGTGTTGTACCTGCGCGCGACGGTTTCGTACACGGAACCCGAGGAACGGGAAGGTGACAACACCAAATACACTAAGGTGCAGGTGCGTGTTGACTCCAAGGTGCGGGATGTTGAGCATGGTACGAAGAAGTCCACGGGCATGTTCAACTATACTTTCCTTGTTGAGAACGATGTGCAAATTATGCCGAAGGGGTATGGTGAGTTTATGCTTTGGGCTGATGCCCGTCGTCGGGCGCAGAATGCTGCTGCTATTGACCCCGCGCATAAGACGAGTGCGCTGCGCAGTATCAAGGATAGTGTTACTGAGTAGATGGAGATGGGTTGGGTGGTTTCTTTTGGTTTCTGGGTTGGGCCAGGCCATTTTTGCAATAGATGTAGATCTTTTTGGTGTTCGCTTTTTTTTTGGTCTTTAATAAACCATGACCTACTTCACTAGGTGTACCTGTATATCAAAACATGAGAAATCTACTCGCACCGCTTAGAAAGAAGCAAATGACTAGAGGCATAAAAGTCACGTATTTTCTGAAGGCTACAATGCAAATAGAGAAAAACCTACATGCTGTGCCCCTCCATTCATCTCACAGTTCCATCCAAGAGTATATATATAGCGGGCGGGGAGTGTATATATATAAAAGAATACAAGAACAAAAACCAGAATAGACACAAACCGCAAAGATTTCATCCAGTTTTCCAGTATTCCAGTCCACCCAGTTGAAGAACCAACCCATGAAACCGACTCCATGTAAGAATGAGATGAGAATGAGATGAGGAATTCTCCCAGGTTATGGTCATGCAACGACATGTACAGATGTTTTTTTCAACTGAAAAAAAAACACCGCAGTCCCGACTGTAACTCCCTTTGCCCCCCTTCTCCTTCCGTGAAACAAGAAAATTTTCAATAATGTTCGTTTCGGGTCATGATTCCAGGCTTTATTTTTGTTTCTTAGCTGGTTTTGTTGTAAGTGTCTTGTTTTCACTCTGCCTTTTCTAGTTTTGTGAACATGAGAGGTTTGTTTTGGTGATTTTGTGACAGATGGTGAAATGTGCCGGGGTGTGGTGGGTGAGATAGTTGGTTGAGCGATGTTGAGGTGATGCTGTCTTTTCATCTCAGCTGGGTGGTGGAGATGCAACGTTCTTATTTTTCACTCATCGAAAAAACGAATTTCCAAAAGAGAAGAGATGATCAGTGCGGGATAACCATCCAACCCCAGAGAATGAACTAGCGAGGAATGCAATTCAACAGCACAGAGCCACTCGCCGAGAACCGTCTTCTAAAGGCAAAGCGAGTCCGCGATCATGGGAGACATGACTGATTGATTGTCATTGCTCACTAAGAACTTCCGAGATGGCATTAGATATCAACGACCCTCGAGTCTGGGAGCTAGAAGCAGCGTTATCCTGAGGGCCCCTTGGCTCGCGAGGCTCCGGCGGCTGCTCTTCTTTCATGCAAGCATTTTCCAAGATATTAGTCCACTTTCCACTGGTGCCCGCATGGCTATGTTTCAGATGCTGTCGGAAGTGGTCTGCGCGGAAGAACTTCTTTGCATTGTTGCACTCGCCGAATTTATGCACGGCGGTCAAGTGCTCGAACCTTCGATCCCAGTCTGCCTGAGGGAAATTCGGGAATTCCTCCCCGCAGTAGCCGCACGTGTCATGGGTAGCTCCGGAATTTGTCTGGCAGGACTGTACGCCTGAGGGGTGGAATGCTGCTTGGAAACTCAAGAGTGCGGCACATGACCATGAATGGCGTCGGAGGTGGAGGGAGTTTTGGTGGCGCTCGGCTTCATTTTTGTTCTTAAAGCGGTGATTGCAGTAGGCGCACGCGTACTGTTTCTCCATCTCGTGTGCACTATTGTGAGTCAGCATGGCTCATATAAATGAAGGTATCTCGTCAATTTACCGTAAGCCATCTGGGTTGTCGAACTTCTTAGGCTTCTTCGGACAACAATCGCAGATGAAAAGCCCGCCGATCTTTGGCGCAGCCGGCTTTGGCATGTTCGCCATGGTCGTTGATGTGGTCATCTTTCCAGTAGCGTCTGTCGCAGGAGGTTCCAACGAAGCGGGTCCTGGCATCCTCGGAAGAGGAGCCTGAGATAGCGCTGCAGGAGAGCTGGGATTGAGAATTGATTTTTCGTGGAAACCATCGAGATCGGAAATGGGTGAAAAACCACCTGGGGATGGCCGGTCGTACGGAGAAAGACTGGTCATACTGCTACCTCCAATAGATAGTGTGGACGAACACGAGCCCGACGTCCGAATGCTCAAGGAGGAGGCGGCTGAGAGGGTTCGTTGGCTCGTGGGGTAGTTGGGGTTGACCGAAAGTGTGTTAGTAAACGGATGACCACTGAGTCTTCGCTGAGACAGGTTTCCGTTACTAGTAGCGACGTGCAATGTATGTCTGTCGTCACCAATTGGCTCACGCGGAGGTGATGATGCCCGTCGTTTCATGCCCTGTCTGGAGTCCGGATACGGCGGAGTGGGCTCTCGAAGAATGAATTGCCGCGGGGGTGCCAGCTCGTCATTCAAAAACTCACCCTCAATATCTGAAAACACGCTGTGGTCACAGCTCCCACGATTTGATCGACTTGGTAGACTGATGCTGTCCTCCCGCTGCGGTGTGGTTCCACGATAGCGGCGTCGGCTCACATCCCGTAAAGATCCTTGGTCGTAATCCAGTGCCGTTGATAGTGTATTACTCTCCACGCTTGGGCTTCGGCCTTGAACACACTCTCTCCAGTTAAACTTGGTCCTGGGAGAAACGCCGCCCGACTGAGGGCTATTGTGCCATTTCACATCCAGTGTTGACCCTTCTGAAGGCCCAGGCGATGGCAGATTGCTTGGGCTTCGTGATGGAACGGTAAGTGCAGAGAGTGAATTCCTGTTATCAGTTCCGAGACTGACAGATCCCCCTGGGGATGGAGGTATTACTATCTGAGGCTTTCCAATTTTGGATAATAAGTGTTGATCATAGGCATTTGACGAGTCTTTGACACATTGCAGGGAAAATTCGGTTCGTTCGCCACTCAAGCTGTCAAATGTGTTAGCAGGGATCAACATGATGTGAAAAGCGCGGGACTGCGAAACCGAAAGGTGTTTGCAGTACTCGCGCTGAGGCACTTACATTGGACCCGCCGGATTTGGGATAAGCGACATGGAATTTGAAAATCTCTCTGCAGCTGGAAGAGGTGGTTGGACCTGGATTCGAGTTTCAGGGCGTTGCGAGACGGTCACTCCGCCCTGCCTCCCTTCGAAATCGTCTATTTGCATTGGATCATCCCGTGAGACGGGTACCGGCCGTCGATGACCTCCAAACAAACTTGAATTCGGATGAATTGGCGGAAGAGAAGTCGGAGGTTGTGGATTTGCGTGTTGCCAGCCGAGGTCATGACCCATCTCTAAACCGGGAATTATGGGTGGCGGTGGAAGTGGTGGAGGTGCGGGGTTCATAGTAGTTCTTGTCCGTGAAGCTATAGGTAACGGGCCGTGAGATGACAGTGCCACCTCGGGCATAGCGTATTGAGATCTTTCGGAAGAACAGTGTCTGTGTTCTCTGAAATCATGGAAGCTCGGCGACTGAGAAAATCGAAGGTCCATTCTAGAACCCGAACATAAAGCCGGAGTTGAAATCAAGACGGACGGATGCGCATCCACATGAACCCAGGCTGAGATCAGAAAGAGACCCAGTAAAACAGAGAACTAGATCGAGCTTGATATAAATCGGAACAAGCAGATTGAATCGAGATCCCAATCTCCCAGCAATAACCCAATCCAGTTGAGTGCAAACGTCGGTCGTGAAACCAGCTCAGATTTTTAAGCGGGCCGTTGGCCAGCCTCTCACACTCCGATGAAGAGTTTCTCAGAAGGACCAGCTTCTGCCTACTTCAAGAGTGGAAGGGCAAATAGATATAGCGCGACAAAGTAGACAGAGGACTTCATGCAGTGCGTAAGTCTTGTGAGTCTAATTTGAGAGTCAGATCATTTGAAAGTGGGCTTGAAGTGATGGTAAAAGACCGGGGTATAATAGGGCTGAAGAAGACCTACCTCGGGACCCTTGTTCGGCGATTCGCCTCATAAGATGAAACGTTTTCCCGCAAGTCACACACCGAGGGCCGGGTCTGTGTCCCATAGAAATTGGCCACACTGCAAATCAGGGAAATGCACACATGCTTGAGATAGAGGGGGAAAAAAATTCAGAAAAGAAATAGAACTAGTGATGTTAGAAAGGTACAATTAAGCCCAGAGAGATTCGATTACAAGGGAATACACACACTCTATGCAACGGGGGGTACCCCACCACTAGTTGAAGCCCGGTAAAAAAAAAAGGGTGCAAGGCAAAAAAAAAGAAAGGTTGAAAGGCCAAAGCTGGCGCTGATCAAATAAAAGGCGAATCAAAAAGGAAAAGGTGAGAATTGAAGCCCAGATCGAGGTATCGGGTAGGATTTGGGCGGCGCAAGCGATTGGATCCAATTCAGGTAAAGAGAGGCAATTTAGGTGATCTCATCCTCAAGAAAGGGAGGATGAAATAGGTTCAACTAATCAGAGGCAAAGAGGCAAAAAAAGAGGAAATTGAAACATACCAGCCCAGGCAGGTCTTGGGCTTAAAGCCTCTGGGTGACGTGGAAAGGCGTATATGTATGTATTGTTCGTATATCGGTCACGTCTGTTACATACCAGTTACAGGGCAAACCATCAGGGATAATACCAAACAAAAAGTTTTTTTATCTCGATTGGAATTTATTGTTTTTTCAATTTTTTTTTTCAATTCTCTTATTAGATAAATCAAATACAATTTAAAATTAAAACTTGGTTAAATTTTCCAAGATCTTCGCGTGGGCAAAGCCACGTTGGAATGAGGTCTTTAGGGCACAAGGCTTAGCGTGAACAGACTCGGCAATTTTCCCTAATAGATTAACTCGATTAGTTTGATTGGCTCGATACAACTTGCCCTATGGAATGGACTCGTCCATGGGTACGGAGTACGGAGTACCTGGGTACGATAGAGCTTCCAGAAAAGACATCTGGGCCCAGTGTTCCGTAGAACGGGGAATGAGAACGGATTGGGCCAAAGTTCAGGAGGTCCAGAGATCCAAAGAACCCGCTGATCTAAGTTGTTTGTGACGCTCTCTACCCCATATGGAGAATTCACATTAGATGACGGGATCATGGAAGCCAACTAGAACATTGCAGAATGGCCGTGCGGTCAACCTCATAGGTGGGGTCTCGTATATTGGACGCCTCGCGAATGCGACGACCTAGAGAGTGTGCTTGTCCAGATCGTTAGAATGATGTACGGAGTACGGAGTAGTTAATCACATAAAGAATGTTCTTGTTCGATCTTCTTTTGGCTATCTGCGCACTCCTCAACCGAGTACCAAGTCGCATGCAAAAAAAAAAGATAAAAAAAAGATTGAATCATGTGAAGGGTGCTGACGAACAGAGGCTACCTACCTGTTTCGGTGAGACAAAGAAACGGCTCGAAAAATGCCTAAAGAAATACGTTCGAGGAACCATGGTTTTATGGCTTTTGTAGAGAGGGGTACACCGTATATCCCGCGCAGTCCTTTGGAGAATGAAGTATAGATTGGCATCGACCTGTGCACCCAGTGATAACATACACCGGAGGGGGCTTGGAAGTCTTGGAAGTCTTGGCATTTAGGCTTAATATCTCCCGGGCAAGGGGCGTATGTGACAACACCCCTATTGACGGGGGGTTTGAATCTTGAACTGCAGGCAGATTTGTGTACATTGCACGGAGTACAGTAAATCTACCATCTCTTAGTACCATGGATATGGAGCATACGAGGAGATCTTGTGCTGTGTTCGGAAAATTCGGGCCCTGCATTCATTAGATAACATTCTTTTGCCTCCACATGAAATAGCGGACAATGCTGAGTCGTTGGACATTGACCCACTGATTTACTAGTCCACTCCACTTAGCGCCTAGCATTGCATGCACTGCCACACTGCTGGTCCGCCTGTCATTTGCGCGCAGGGGGTTTGTGAACCTTGACTCTTGTGGTGTGATCAAACATTCTAGGCACAGTAAGACAAGTTGAACCGGATTTTTTTTTGGCAAAAAAAAACCACGCCGAACGACCTGGTTTTTGGCGATAAATGGGAGATAGAGAAACGAAGAACGTTAGAACAAACCCTCTAGGGCTGCAGGGAACATGGCTGAGTAATCAGATAAATGCTCCACACCAGCTTCGGAAATCTCAGTTTTTCGCTATGGCTCTTTTTTTTTTCTTATTAGGAGAAATCGCTAAATCGGGCTTCTCATTCCAACCCTACAAAGTACACGTTGGGCTAGTGTTACTATACGTGCTCCGTGCATTTCAGGTTCTAGTCCACGTTAGTACAGTCTATGGATGTAATATACTAGGTGTACGTCCCCAGGAGGTGGGCGAACTCAACGTTAAATGTGCACCCCTGGAGCCCTATCACATGTATGACAATCAGATCTTCTGATCAGAGCAACGTGGTACGGAAGAACGATTTAAAAGTCAGGATTGCTCTACCAGGGAGGCTCAATATCAGGATTGTGTAATTGCTGAGGCAGCCCACAGATGACCGCTTGGCGAAAGGTATTGCCTCTCGACTCTGTATATTGTACATTGATCCTCTGCACTCCGTCTGTGTACAACATGCTTCGTACAGAAGACTCCGTAGTGGATACGAAGACCAATTTAATAAACTTTCCCCCGGGCCCATTATGTATGTGTTTCTCCTCGATCGTCCCCTCAAGCGCCAGTTGATGTTCCAGGAGGCGCCCTAAACTGATTTAGGAATGATTAGATTGGGGTGGGTGATGACCAGGTAAGCTATCTACGCAGTTTACTCCACTGGGGCGTTTGTCCGCATTTTGCGTCAATTTTGCTTCAAGTATTACCAGAGCAACAGGCAGCAAGGAAACTTGGTCTACAAGAGGCATCAGGAGAGAGGGGTTTCCAGATTCTGTACGGAGTAATTCGGCTGACCTCGGTTGATAAGAACCAGTCTCTCCCCAGGCCGCCATCAGCAGAAACTCGCTTGAAGCACTGGGAGAGGTTGGGTGTAATGCCTGCAGTGAACCTCCTGAGCCGCAGCCAGCCTTAAGCCTTGGAAGGCTGCAGCCTAGAAGCGCGTGTCACGCCTCTAGTCAATTTGATGCGGGACAAGCTAGCCTCCTTTATACTCCGTGCTCCGTAGCGAGGCCGCATAGGGCCTCCCGCCCCGTTCATTGCTCCATTTTCTGATCAGCCCAGGTCCAAGTTCCCCGCTGTAAGCCTAACTAAGCCTAAATCTAGCTTCCTTTTGTTGATTGCCCGTGAGCACCCCCTTGCAGTTCGGAAAGCAAATCAGATTGTCGGCTAACGAGGTTGATTGTTTGACCTTTGTTGGATGCAAATCGCGCTCCACGTTGCTAGAAACCCTCCGGTAGACTTCTCCACGATGCACAGGGCCAGTCTATCCATGCACAAGAGTACAATGTACGGAGCAGACACTCAGGGCTTATATATTGGAGCCACACATTACGTCTACAATTATGTAAAAACTATGGGACGTATGGTCGGTTTTGGTCGTAAATGCCGTGTCTCACTTTTCGGAAGGGGCTAGCTAAATTGCTTTTGAGTATGGAGTACTCCATAAGTATATTCAAGCTATAACAAAGACTTTAGAAACAAGTGATAAATAAAAGGTCTATTTATGTCGCAAGCACCGACCCCAGAATGGGGAGATCCTCATGCGGTGGGTGGTTGTGTACAAACACACTCTCTCTTACAACTGTACTTGTTGATGTGAATATTTGAGAATTGACACTGAAGTTCAGATCAGTTGACACTTCTGCTTTCCCTCATTAAACGCAAATGCAGCATGCACCTGAGTCTTTAAATTAACGAGCGTGTGATTGCCTGAGGCATGAAAGTCACCTGCTTTACCATACCCTTGCCCTATCAGACTTTTTGAGTTTGGCAGCGCCGAGGCTCAACCTCCGCCTTTGGGATCTAAGAGGGAAAAAGAGTCAAGCTATCAAACTGACACTGGGGCTGAGCCTCTGGATTCTGGATTTTCTCTGTCGCCATCAACCAAAAAATTTGCAGCTGCCGATTTGCAGCCACCATATCTCAAAATGGCCATGAATCAAATAAAAGGCCACAATATCTATGTCGGAGGGTTGGTCTCACTTCACGAACAGACAATCTTTGCCCGAGTGCCGCTAAAATGGAGCTGAGGCTGGAGATTAGCACTGCCAGTTCCCGATTTGGAAAATTTTCATTCCTTGCTAACGCGCCATCTGTAGCATATTAAGCGCCAAAAACAAAGCAGCATTGGCACGCGCAGATATCTCGCATGTTCTTTCGGTGCTGCGTCTCAACCCAGCCGAGGAACTGGAAACTTTCAAATCTTACCAGCATCTTTCTATAGGAGTTGACGATGTCGACGATGAAAATTTATTGGAGCATCTC